ATAACTATCTAGGCGAATCTAGCATGCTATTATCATGTGTATATTATTATACTTCCCTCTGATCTGTTCTCTCGTGCCCATGTATTCAATGCCAAGCTTGCGCCTGCATCATAGGCTGTTCCAACCAGGCAGCCTGCTCGATGTCTTAAAAGGCAATGCATCGCTGCAGTCATCTACCCGTAGGTCGGCCTAGCTACAAGCACGGGTGTAAGAAGGATGCGAATTTACGAGCGATAACAGTGCTTCTCCATAGTGATTTGCAAATGTCAATGCAAATCTGCAAACTCATGTGCGGAGACTCGTTCATGTGAAATGCTCGACTCAGAAGAACTGAATTTTGATTCCCCAGAATCCAGCTAAACTCACTAGCATCCCTTGGGCTTCATGGTTGATTCGCCCCTTGTGGCTTGCGGACTACGCCAATTGAGAAAGACTGAGGCCCAATAATTGGCCAATTTCAGCAAACATCAAAAGCACGCAAACCCACATCCAGTACTCGGGACCCATGCAATGGGCTATAATAGGGATGCTCATCCGAGTTACGTACACATACCTACGAATCTCTGGGCGGTGCGCGGCCAGTGGCCACCTGTGTCGGGACCAGGTCTCACTTCTCTGCAGTTTGGACATGGCATGTAGCTGAGAGTAGGCAACAAAATAGGAAACCGAAAAAGAGCGACAATGCAGAATGACCGGCTCTTGATTCCCTGGCCAATGAGATAGATGGCATATCTATTCGACCCGTTGCTGTCTGGTGATGCTGGTCTTGGTTCGAGATCAGCTAGGTGCGTTAGTGCAAATACCTCATTCCGTGCCCTAAAAAATGGCCAGCCATCACATATTCGCATACTTTCATATGATTGGAGCCCAGCGAACATTTTAGCGTCATTTCTGGCGTACCAGTCAGCTAGTTCTCTCCAATGGCGATGGTTGCTCAGACTCCCTCATCCCATGGCAGTCCCGAATTACGGGCCTCCAATCCAAGCGTTAGCCTATGTTAGCATTTTCCCCACTGACGGCAATAGTTCCAAATCCCATGTACTCCCTCCGTAGTCCGTCAGCCGTACTGTCCGTATCCTCGTCTAGCGCTTGTTACATCTAGTTATTACTTACAATCTTTTGTCAGCTATCTACCTGAAGGTGTGTAACATTATTAAGCTGAAGCAGTTTCAGATTCATCTGAGTACTACAGAGCAGCTAGTGCTGAGAATGTAAAGTCAGCAGTGACTTGCTGCTTTTTTACCAACCGTAGCCACTTGACGATGAGGGATGCCTTGTATGGCAGCCCTCTACCGAGAGTACACCTCATGACCACTAATAACGGCATTCGTACATGTCCAATCCACTCAAGAGCCATGAACAGGTCGATCACCGAGGGCATACTGTGTACGTACTCCATGTTTGGTGGGTACTACTGCTGTTTTACCTGTGTGCAAATTGCATCCAACAGTGAAATGATATGAATGATCGGGTTGGTGAAAGCAACTAAATTGCCATTGGAGCCGTCGCATCTTGTCACTCGAGACGATCATGATAACTCCGACTAAACTAGACTACGCTCCGGAGTTTCTAGATATCTCCTGATTTTCAAACCACAAATGCTCCATGAAGATCTGTTGTACGCAGAAGATCGACCAAACATGTATACTTAATTGGATAGTCTGGCATTCTTGTGTTCCATCGACATCTCACTATTTTCTACGATATATTCACCTCGTATGTGCCTTTACTTAGTCCTCTGCGATTGTCCAAGCTGTGCCACTGCCACCTGACCTAACTAGCTAATCCTCAGCCTCCTCAGCAGTCAGCCCTCAGGATTGATTGTTGCTTGGCTTTCTGAAGGCACGGACAAAGTCTCGCTGTCGTCTGTAGCTACTCCATGTATGCTAGACTGACAGAACTGCTGATGTACTCCATAGCGAACCATGCGCCGTTGATCTAGACAATCGCCCTGCTGGAATGCTAGACACCAATCAGCGCGTTCTTAAGTGAATCCCGCCCTTGAGACAATCAGCCCGATCGCATGGCAGTTGGAATTTTTGAAGCAAAATCTTCTAGATTATTCCCCCCATAAGTCATTTTCGAGTCCGTACTAACTGACCCCTTGCATGGGCATGGTCTGTGGTGGTAGCCTCCTTCTTTTTTTTTTTTTTTTTTTTTTCCCTCCTTTTTATTCGCTGGTTGCTACCCCCACCCGGCCTACTTGTTTGGCACTTTGGCCTCGGATTTCGAAACCATGTTGATCGCTGTGGCCCATGTCTCTGATCATGATAATATTGCATATTATGGTGGTATTATTAGTACAGGGTAAGGCAGATCGGAGAATGACGCTATTTGCAACCATCTGCCACAAAACAGGGATCAAGTTTCAGATGGCGGAATAGAAATTGGCCAAGGAGACCTGGAGAAATTATACTAAAAAAATAAATTAAAAAACGTGGCTTTGGCGTCTGCGCGTGTCTCATCCTCCACTTTACTGCTTGAGGAAACTTCTTCGACATGGGGCATCAAGATACGGAGGACTAGTTTAGCCTACTCGCATTCAAGCAATAATCTCTCTGTCCGACGAGGTCAGTGCTGTTGTCGTACCATCATTTCGCGTCATTCCAGCACTAATACGCTCAGCCTCCTATAACTTCAGAATCCTGTCGGTCCGATTTTTGCCTCTTGATCCTTCAAAGCCTTGATTTCTGCTAGCTGGGGTATTCTCGGTGTAATTCTTGGTGATGATCCATCAAGGAGGGGCAGGAACTTGGAAGTCTAGAGGGCCCTGGGGGAAAGCTATATCCGTTCTTGGTTAGTTTACGGGGACTCTTTAGTGCCCATTTGGTGCCTTATGCGAATTGGCCATGCCTATCACTAACTAGTACTAGTCATACAGTTAGTCAGGAGGCTTAAGAGCTGGACATGAACAGCTTAGGCCTGTAGATTCTACATTCTACGCAGCAATTCTGACTACGCAGTACCGCGTAAGAAGAAAAGTGTACAATAAGGAGTAAGTGCTGCGGCGCTTATCATAGGTCCGGTACTACGCGATTGAATAGGCAATTATTTCCGACAGGAATCTGTCATTGTACTGAAGACATTTGCACATACTCAACTCCATGAATGCAGATCTACATTGCTCCTGTGGGATGATGAAATTGCAGCGCGGCTAGAGTGGGGGCCTCCTCCATCAATCATATCTGAGTATGGAGGACTGCAACTGTGATTGTTGCTATTACTTGCTGTGTGTTAGTGTTATCTACAGGCAATCTACTTGTTGCCTTCTATTGTCTCCTAGGAGAGCAGACGGCATACTCCTAGCCCATTCTCTTAATATCATGTCTATCCAAGTGATGATAACAGTACTTCCATCCAGGTAATACAGGGAGAAGTAGTGCAAGCTTTGAAAATTACAGAGGACCCAGTTTTTCACTAGAAATAGACTTTGCTAATACCTCCCAGATTTAATCATGTACACTCACTATTGCTGGGCCCTGATCCTCAGCCGGCCTAAATAAGCCTCTGCACTAATTGCAATGACCAAAGTTTGTTATCCAGGTTTTGGGCATGAAGAAATGCAAGGGTTTCGAAACTTTCCAGCTGTCAACAATGTCGTACAATCTGTCAAGAACATTCTTGCCTCCGATCGCTCAACATCTACCATCTATTTTCTCATAAGGGGTGAAGGAATTACATCATCCATGGCCTGTTCTCAAGATTGTGTGCATACTTGTTTCCTCCCTGCTTAAACAACGCAAGGTGCAATTAATAGACTAGTCAAGGCGTGCTATCATTCTGCGACTCTATGGATCTACTTCCTCGCTTTTTAACTTTCATCCACCATTAACTTCGATTCATTAACAAAGTCCGGGGTAGATTGAATTTCTCCGCCGAGTCTGTGCAGCTGTCCGAGTACTCCAGCGGCTTCTGAGTTTCTTACTATTGTTTCTGACATGTTAACTCCTCGTCTAGCCTGCTGTCATATCTTGCCAGGGTGGATCGCAGGATGGATATCATTATGGTGTTTGTTGGACTGCGTCTTCATGCTTGTTGATAGTTTTACCTGATATGTCGGGCATTAGTATTGTCTTGACTGTCGTTTGATAGAAATTCGCAATGCAACTCTCTGACAAAATCAAGATTATTGCTTCTCATACTAGGATCAGTATTGTTAGAATTGCTCATTATAACAAACCCCTACTCATCGTCTGTCTCGTTGCCTCTGTCAACATATTTGCAGTTATGCTAACATTTCTGTCTTCAGACAGACCACTTATGTCAAAGCGTCAGATGGAGTTCCCCGCAGCGATGGAATCGAATTACCCTGTCAACGCGATTCCATTCGACTGACAACCTTCTCTGTGGTATAATCCTTTACTCTAGGTGCAACACCTTGACAATAGTCATAACAGTCTACCAGTCGTCTCGAAAAGCAGGCCAAGGGACCGCCGTCGTCTTCGAGGCTCTTCGTCCACAATCCGAAAAGTGATAACGGCACGTCTTAATGCGTCTCTGATATATGCAGGCGTATTAGTTGCTGTGATCCAAACCACAATACCGTGGCCACACAAGGAGGTCAAGCGCGACAAGCGAGTTGGGGTCTCTGAACATCGACGGCTCTGTCCCTTACCCTTTCCAATCGAGCCCGGGACTTTTACACAATAACTCAAAAGCAACGGGTTAGCAGAGTTCCCTCCGTCGCCGACTTACCATACCTTGGAGGCTACAACAGGAACTCTCCGCGGACCGATCGTCCCCATGCAATAGTCCCGCTGGTTTACGAGGCGCATATAACTGTGTTGGCATCAAAAGATACCCAAAACTGGGACATTCGGCGGTATGGATATGTCATAACTGCGAATGGCAGACCTGTCCCAGCATCTTCAGCTTTAGATTGCCTAGGGACAGACCAGATCCGAGGTATCCGCGGGTATTATTGACAGAACATCAAAGAAAACCCTGATGCAGGCCGTTGCCCCTGTAACGGTCATGTGTATACTGTTATTCCCCATGAGCATTAACCGTCTAATTGTCATTTTGGGAAAGTATCTCAGGTCATCGCATCTATAATCGTGTTGGGTGAGAATTGGTCTTCAGCGTACTAACATTCAACACTCGAGTTGTTGCTCTTGTTGCTTTTGTGCGCTAGTTTTCGGTATCCGTTTGTACTGGAAGTTAGTTCATTTTATATCCTGGCTAATGTACATACGATCCATAGACCGGTGAGACATGACCCTCTTATGGCCCTGCTCGCAGTTAACCAGGATGCCTCCCTGAACCGCCTCAGTTGCCGAGCCTGTCAGCGATTGACAGGGCCCAAAATGAACATTGGGATCGATGCCATATAGAATACTTCCATAGTGCAGTTGAGTTTCGTTTTGACATTTCCTCGTCTTCAATCGTAATCTCTCTATGGGCTAACACAGGGAGTTTCCATGTGCCTTAGCAGAACATTCAGCTTGCTAAGCAGAATCATGGCTGAATTCCTCTTCTTCTAAAATTGAGGAAGAGAGTAAACCTCCCGTATCACCGAGAGGTTTGACCTCCCTCGTGTCAGGCCATTCCACAAGAATGTCTCTAGATGATCTTGGTCTCCCTGCAAATGGAAGCTTCCGGACTACGTCGGCGGACCGACGTGACCGAGTCTTTGAATCTTCACGACTCGGTGGGTTTTCAGAGAATCCCAATGACTCGTTAAGCGTCTCAATGACAAATGCACTGGTCAGATGTACTACAGTGCCGAGGATCAACCCGATAATTAAAGCGGTCGCGAAGAATAGCAGCACGGCCTGCGACACATGTCAGTCTCTCATCACTCTAATACCCAAAATGTAGCAGCTTGCAGTGTACAGATTCAAGAGCTCCGTTAAGGAAATTTTCAACACGTCCATACCTCAAATTTAGCAAGAATCCTTAGAGGGAGGAGGGCAAGGTTTAAGACACCAAGTCCCAGTTTCCACAGTGGGGTGACCAAAAGGTTTAGTAGCCCATACACACAATATGCCAAAAATGTCAAGGGGTATATGATAGAGTAAAGCAAAGTTGCAACTGCCGAAGCCCATGCCATTGAAATACAACACTTGAACTACCGTCGCATTCCTTTAATATATGACTGACAACGGAGGTGCAATAGTAGGCCGACTAATTCTTGAACTCAATGAGGGGATGGACGTTTATCAACTGCGATTTGCCAATCCCAACCTGACCACGGAAGATGAAGGTACAGGCTCTTGAAGTTCTCCTACTGGCAGGAATGGAGTATGATGTCGGTAGATAAAGATCCAGTGGAGCCGAAGGCCCGGGGCGCCTCAGGTCTCTGCGATTGGCGCTAAACCGAATCAATTTTAGTTTAGTAATTTGGCCTGCTACCTATCTTAAAGCGGCATCGGCACCTTACCATAAGAAAACAACCCCAGAGCTGGAGAATCGAACCCTATACCCTAAATAGACGCTTTTGGCAAGCCCCGGAACAACGTCGACATCATCAAATGCAGTGAGATACCAATGTCCATTGACAGAGTGAATCGTAGTACGATTCGATTGTCTGCACGTCTACCTGAAACATTTACAGTGAATCTCATTCGCATTCAACTCCTTTATTTTGCATCATTGCTCATCCACTTTGCGCTTGGCCCTCGGTACAGCCCCTGGAGGCTGGCGCGCTGATGCTGGCATCCTAACATACAGTAGTCACTCTTGTCCCTCCCCCTCATTTATTCTCCGTGCACACCGGTCGTCTCAGACACCTTCGCCCCAGATGGGCAACAATCCTTCAAAGGGCCCTTCTGGAGATGCTCCGCCAAGTTCGGCCCCATCAAATTTAACGGTTCCACCAGGCGATAAGAAGGTGAATCGCCGGCCGTCAACCAACGCGATATCCGGAGCAAAGGCAACTGCGGCCGACCCCTCGGCGTCTATTGAGACAGCAACAGGACATTCGGCCACAGCACATCAAACTCCAGTTCAGCAGCGCCTTCAATCGCGCAATATTACAGACCCTTCTAAGGGTAATTCCGACCGACAGGACCGACACGATGCAAAGAAAGCAGAGCCTCACTACAGGGATATCCCCTCACCGGATCCTTCGAATCCTGTGCAAGTACCAGTTTCTCGTCCTGCTGCCAGAAATGATGCGACTGTAGCACCATCTGCCCCACCTCTCAACACATATTATAGTGCATCCACCCACCTTCAACGTCCGCCTCGGATGCCCCTACCCATCGGCGATGCGACGGCTACTCCAGGTTCACCGATCATCGGACCAGAGGACTCACATATCGGCTTTGTCTCGGGCGACCGTCCATTGGGCGAACAAGCAAGTCGAGACAATGCAAGCATCACCAACACTGCCGTTGACGATGAGGAGACGCTTGACGAGCTCGAACCATATACCCCGAGCGGTGTAGGCAGGGCTGTACCAACATTTATCGAGTGGAATGGCCCCGGAGAAAAAGTATACGTTACTGGAACCTTTGTGAATTGGGAAAAGAAATATCGTCTGCACAGAAAGTATGTAACCCTCCACACTTACTGCTGCGTCTCAATCTGCCCCTATCTACTATCTAGCGAAACCATCATGAGGGCCAAACGACACCTTTCATTGTTTTTGTCTTTGACCACTCTCCTCTTCTTTCCCGCCCTCCAGTCCGGCATGCAACTTCTCGCTGTCTGGTCCAACAAGATGATGCCACGAGTGCTAATCGATGATTTGTGAACAGTGAAAGTAATCCAGGCGTCATGTCCACAACGTTAAATCTCCGTCCTGGTACACACCATCTGAAGTTTATTGTGGATGGGGAAATGCGGGCTTCAGATAATCTGCCGACTGCAGTCGATTTTACAAATCATCTGGTCAACTACATTGAGGTCAGCGCGGACGACGTCAACCGATCGCGCAGGGGGAGTGATAGAACGAACAAAAGTGCAGTTCCTTCAGGTGTTCATCCTCCCCAGGTTATTCCCAATCTTATTGGGGCCGACCGCAATGGAGCCGATGTCGAAGATCAGTCGGACAAGGAAGAACCAGAGGAGATTCCTTTGGGAGACTTCCAGACTATTATCCCCCAATTTCTTGTCGATCTTGACAAGGATGAAGACAGTCCAGAATACCAGCAAGCCGCTAATGTGATCGGTGATACTCCTACTCCCCCAAGTCTTCCACTTTTCTTGGGTAAATCGATCCTGAACGGCACGACGCCGATGAAAGATGATAGCAGTGTTCTCAACTATCCTAATCATACGGTACTCAATCACCTCGCAACGAGTAGCATCAAAAATGGCGTTCTGGCGACCAGTGTGACAACCAGATACAAACGAAAGGTAAGATCTCCGCCAAATTCCACCTTTTTTAGAGTATAGACTCAACCTTGCGCAGTATGTCACAACGATACTGTACAAGCCGACCAGCCACATCACGGGCTAGTAACCGCTAGAAAAAGGCGCTTGCTGCGCAGTCTCTCATACCATGCGTGAGCCAGTCTCAGGGACACCGCGGGCGTTTGCGCACGAAATGGTTAGGTCAGGGGCCGCAGTCTCTCGGTGTCAGTGACCCTTCGCTACGCCACTCGCCTCCCCCAGATTCCTTCACAGGATCTGTTTCGACGATAAAGACACTTCATTGACTTGTTCATGGTCATAAATTCATCCGATAGATGCATATATGCAAGAGCCGTATCAGTTCACATGCCTCACGGCACATGGCTACAGTCAATTCACTCACATATGATGAACAATTTCATTTATGACCGCGCTGTTTACATTTCATTTCTTGGTTATTACAGCATGAATTGTCGATATGCAATGTTATCAATTGCCGCTGCCCCTTCCAACATTTTTGTACCTTATCTGTTCCTCATGGGCTGGTGCACGCTTGCGTTGCGGTCATCGTCAGGTTATCAGGTGATCTTCCCATTCCCGTATTTACCGACTAGATTTCCCAAGCGATGTACAATTTTTATTTCTTAGCATCGAGCAACTGCAGGCCTTTTCCATACGAGATAGAAGTATCAAGCTCTCCTATACACAGAGGTCCCTAATGGCGACTCCCAGTATTACAAGGCGAATGGTTATGTCTGTAGACCGGGCCGTATGTGTCATCATCATGACTGGTGCTCATATTAATCTCTCCATTTTACAAACACGTCGTCTGTTCGGAACCGCTGCGTACAAGTCGACTCCTTCAACGGAGTGCGGAAACCTGTCTTGTACGCGAGTAAACCTGCCTGCGCGATCATGATTCCATTGTCAATACAGAATCTCTCATCCGTCGCATGGACACTACCACCGCGATCGCGAGCCATGATTCCCATCATCTCCTGTAATCGTTCATTGCACCCGACGCCGCCGACTATGAGGACTTCCTTGGAGCCCACATGCGCCATAGCGCGCTCGGTAATCTCAACGAGCATGGAAAACACAGTCTCCTGGAGCGAGAAGCACAGGTCTGCGCGTGTGGGTTTAGAATCATCTCCTGCACCCTCTTCTTCTTCTTTCCCTTCGCCGTTCAAGCCGTAGGATGCAGCCAATCCGTCAATGGCGGCGAGGATTCCTGAAAAGGAGCAGTCCATGCCCTTCACTGTGTACGGCAAATCGACCAGCTGCTTGCCCTTCTTCGCTAGTTGCTCGATGTTGTACCCTGGTGCGGGATCGTTGGAGATGTGCAATGTTCGGGCGAATCTATCCAGGCAGTTGCCCACGGCGATATCGAGAGTTTCACCGAAGATCCGATACCTTTGCGAACTGTAGGCAATCACCTGTGTGTTACCTCCTGAGACGTATAGAACGACAGGATTGGTGGAGCCAGTGATTAGTCTGCCCATCTCAATATCTAAGCGAGTGGTTAGCTCTCTAGTAGGAATGTCGGAGGCTGTCGAATGTCCAGGCCTCAAGCATGAGACAGCGGACAGCGGACAGCGTCTATGGTCACACATACGTCCAACGCAATGGTTCACACCAACTAATTCTTTGCCCCATAATAGACTCAGCGTCCGGGCAGCCACAGCGACGCTCTGAAGCGGAGCACCCATGCCAGGGCCCTTGGTAAAGCAGATGCAGTCCACATCACGGACTGAGATACGAGCTTCTCTGAGCGCTCTCTTTACAAGCTTCACTACCCAAGAGCGATGGTGCCGCGCAGTATCTTTGGGAAGAAATCCCTCACCTGGAGGGGAGACATAGGTGTGACGAATATTAGCAAGGACCCGCGGGGTGCTGCCATCCTCGGGATGGAGCATAATGCCCACCCCAAGTTTGTTGGCGGAGCCTTCGAGTCCGATAGCAATCATGACTGGAATGAACTTATTATCGAACAATTCTAAGATTCAAATTTCAAGAGAGAACAATCATATCCATTAGAAGTTGGTCCATTCGTTACGGGCAGCTCGCCTGCAGAGGGGTAATCTCGGCTTTCATTCGTTATTTCTTTTTTTTTTTACCCTTTTTAATCAGCGGCGTTATCTATTGGCGGACGGGCGGCTTGACACGGTGGTAGCGTTTATCCGACGACGGGGGTATACAATAAAGGTAAGCTAAATGCTACACTCCATGCATTTCCCCTCCCACAACGGTGGATTGTTCTTGTGATATCCCTCCATTGTCCTGGAGACTTCTTGAAAATTGCTTTCTCTCTCTATCTTCTCGATCCCTCCCCTCTACTCTGTCGAAACGTCTGTGTGTATCTCATCTTGAGGGGGTCCCGTTCATACTACTCCACCCACACGGGTCACAAACATTCTTCATCGGTAAAAGAATGTCGTCCTCAGCCCACTTTCCTGATTCCGACAGCTTCCAGCGTCAGTCAGATGTGTTTATCACATGGCTAGCTGGAAAGCCGGGTGTGAGAATCAATTCGAAAATCAATATCGCTGATCTACGATCAAAATCTGCTGGGAGAGGTGTAGGTATGTGGCCACCCCATCCGAAGGTCTTAGATTCATCTTTTTTGTTTCCCTCCGAAAAGAAGCACCACCGCCAAAATACCACTTTCTGATCACTTATCTTTACATCATCAGTGGCTCGGTCCGATATCTTCGACGGCGAAGAGCTTTTCTCCATTCCCCGCGGACTCGTTCTATCGACTCAGAATTCGAAGTTGAAGGATTTGCTCTCACAGGACCCGGAGGAACTGGGCCCATGGCTGTCTCTGATTCTGGTGATGATGTACGAATATCTCTTAGGAGAGCAATCTGCTTGGGCACCGTACTTCAAACTTCTTCCCAAGAGCTTTGACACACTGATGTTCTGGTCCCCTTCTGAACTTCAGGAGCTGCAAGGCAGTGCAATTGTTAGCAAGATCGGGAAAGAGGGTGCTGAAGACTCGATCATGCAGATGGTCGCACCGGTCGTGAGGGCCAATCCTTCTCTCTTTCCGCCAGTTGCGGGCCTAGCCTCCTGGGACGGTGAAACAGGTGCCCAGGCTCTTCTGGGCTTGGCTCATATCATGGGGTCCCTTATTATGGCTTATGCATTCGATATTGAAAAGGTTGAGGATGAAGATGATGAGGATAACGACGAAGAAGACGGTTATGTGACCGATGATGAGCAGGACCAGTCTTCTAAAGGCATGGTACCACTGGCAGACATCCTCAACGCGGATGCGGATCGAAATAATGTGCGTGCCCTTTCCCGCACACTCCCTCTTGCGTTCCATATTAGTGCTCATTGTTTACAATTCCTGCAGGCACGCCTCTTTCAAGAGGAGGATTCTTTGGTCATGAAAGCCCTCAAGCCCATTCAGGCTGGAGAGGAGATTTTCAACGACTATGGAGAATTACCCCGTGCCGACCTTCTACGGCGGTACGGCTATGTAACGGACAACTATGCTCAGTACGATGTCGTTGAACTGTCCCTTTACCAAATCTGCCGGTCTGCCGGTCTTCAAAATGCGGACATTGAAAGTCATCCTCCGGTACTTGCCACCTCCGTTTTCCGGATTCCTCCAATTTCTGCGGCTCGATAATTGACTTGTACCCTAGCTCGCCTTTTTGGAAGATCTGGAACTCCTCGATGATGGATATGTCATTCCCAGACCCTCGCCCGAGGACTCGCTGACAGACATCCTTCCGGATGAGCTTCTCTTGTTGCTCAAGACGCTCACACTCTCACCAGAGCAATTAGAGCATCAGAAATCGAAGAGCAAACCCCCCAAGCCGTCGTTTGGCCACGCTGAAGCTGCCATTCTGCTAAAGACCATCCAGCTCGTGGGCAGCCAATATCCCACAACCGTTGCCCAGGATGAGGAGATCCTTTCGCGGCTCATTCAGTCTGAGGCATCTCAGCCCCTGAACCAGTCCGACCGACGGCAGAAGATGGCTATTCAGGTTCGCCTGGGTGAAAAGTATATCTTGCAAACTATGGCCAACATGCTTCAGGAGTTCATCACGAACTCCGCTCAATTCAACGGAGGGTCCGGTCTCAAACGAGTCGCCAACGGCGACAGTGGAGATTCCAGGAGAACAAAAGCTCCCAGGAATTGACATCAGCGTAACACGTACCGCTACGCCTTACGTTGATGGAAGGGATCATTCATCTCTTCTTTTGTTATTTTCTTCGTTGCTGACATCAAGCTCCGCTATCCGTACACGAGTCTATCGGCTGATAGGTTTTGAAAAAGTCAAGAGGAAAGAGAACAGGCTATGTACACTAACATTCGCATAATTTCAGGGTCATATCATGATAACAGGGGTTATCCACAACTATCGTCCCTTGGACGAAATAGTTGGTTCGGAGTCAAGGTTAAAAAGGTGGCGGCTCATGAGGTCAAGGTATCGGAGGGGCGGTAAAAGTACAAGTACAGAGGAGTATCGAGGTGAAAAGACGAAGCAGAGGGAAACAAGGGAATCGAGGAACGCCCGCCAAATGCAAGATATGAGTTGGGGGAATTAAAAGAAGAAGACACGACGACGAAGAGAGAAGAAATAAAGCCCAGCTCATATCTCACGAAGTGGAGGCGACGGCACCAGGCCCGGGGTTCGATCCCATTGTCTGCCCCATGTTCGGGGGTCCATTGTTGGTTGTGGTTTGTTCGGCCTGCAACCGTTTCTGCGCTTGAGCCTGCGCATGTGCTTGGGCGGCGGCAGCAGCTTGGTCTCGTGCTTTAGCAGCCATTATGGCACGATGTTGCATGATCTGGACATCGTACGGATCACATTCGAATTCTGACTCATCGTCCGAATCCTCCCGATCATACTTGAATCGATCAGCCTTCAGCGGATCCATCTCGATTCTACACCGCGACACCAGGTTTCGACGATCAATCATCAACCGACCGCCGCGCCCAATGCGCCTCCGGAACGACGGTATCCTGCTGGTGTCCTCGTTCATCTCCCATGTACGAGGAACTAGCTTATCTCGGAAGGAGAGGGAATTGGCCGTATCTAAGGCAGAGTCCAACATCATATTGTCGGACGAATCTGAAGAAGGAGGAGTTGGCAACTGGGTGGTGATTGCCGGGCGGAATGCGGCCTGGAAGGTTTTCTCTGGAGGTGGTGAGAGAGGCGCTCTTGTGAAATCCACATAGCCCTCGTTCCACTTGATATGCTTCGCGATGTTCTGCTTGATATCCCGCAGAATCTCGTTTTCTTTCTCCGCCTGGACATCTTCCAGCAGTTGCAAGTCGTCCGCGGCCTGAGTACCGGGCTTCTGTGGCATCCGGATCTGAGCAGCGGTCGGCCGTTGTGCAGCTGGCGCCTCCGCAGGCTTCTTCTTTGGCTGCTCCGGCAAATTAGCAAACGCATGAGGAAATCGTGCTGGGATTGACGTTACCTTCTGGTTGATGAGATCCTCGTCATCGTCTTTGATGTTGAGTTTCCTCTTCATCTCCTTCACCTCGGAACGCTGCAGGAATATCTGCCGCTCCATCGAGAGCATCTCCTTTCTTGCCAACTCCCGCTGGCGCACCAGTGCAACCAGCTGTCGAGCATCTTCCAGCTCCTTTCTGAGTCTGCGCAGTTTATCGGCACTTTGGGCATCTCTGCCGCGGGTCTTCCGAATCTGACGGACTTCACGCCTACGAAAGCAGACATACGGGTCTGTATCATCGGTATCTTGACCAGTTTCGAACTGCTCAGGGTCAGCGGTGGGAAATGGGTAGCCATGCGACGAGGTCTGCTCACCTTGAGACTCGGTAGGAGTGGGCGGTTCCCAGTGGCAATCCTTCGCAACTTCCAGTGCTCATATATGTCCTTTGCAAAACGCTTGACGCTCTCCTCTACAGTTGCATCCATCGAGTCTTGCATCTCTGCGAAGCTCAGGACAGGAGGGCTATCTACAGCGGCAAATGGTTGCTTTGTCTGTGCCGTCTCCTCGAAGAAGTACATCACCTCCTCGAACTGATCCTCTGTGATCCGGTTCGACGGCTCCCGCTTCTCGTTCATGATCTTGAAGAAGACATCGTCCTCTTCGGTCATGTTATACGGGCATCCGCAACAGTCCTCGACAGTCGAGGAGAAGCGGATGTATGTCGCCGGCTGCGAGAAGATGGGGGGATAGAGCTCGTCATATCGAAGATTACTGAGGACGGTCTCTGGTGTGGGAATGTGAGCTTCGTTTACTTTTCCTTGGGCAGTCGCGCTGATAGCAGCTTGAAGATGAAATTCCTATTGAAAACAGGGTTAGCGAACGCTGTTTGGGGCCCAATATATCGGCTGACAAAATTTTCACTATGAGGTGAGGTTGTGATACGATCACGTGATACATGCAGGGATGGCTAAAAAATTAGTCGGGGGAAATCACTGACCGACTCCTCAGCCTTCTCGACACCAGTTTCCACCTGTTGTAGGGCATTCTGGACCTCATCGTCGATGATATCGATCTCATCTTCCCGGACAATGGGGATTGAGGCTTTCGAGGTGAGCTTTTTTGGGCGCGTCCTCCCCATACCCCCGTATCTAGTCATACGAACTTTGGGGCGCAAATGCGGCAACGACCATGGGACAGTGGTCCCAAAATTAGTATGTATCGATAGGCCTGATCATGCGAAAGCGCGTAGACGTATTTTTTTGATGAAAATCGATGGATGGTGGAAGATATTGACGACTGAAATCTCGTAGTATCGGCACTTGCGGTTGAGTTGACGTTGTAATGTCACCCAGACGTGGCCTGTCTTAGGCCGGCGCACGGCCTCAGGGGTTCGCTTGCCTCTCCGTTTCCGGCTAGTGCGGGGCTGGCCGATATCAAACTGATGAACGGGTGATGTCCTTGGCATGTTATGAGCTACGTGAATCCTGGAGCCGCACCAGTGGGTAGCTGAATAGCCTTTCCTACTCGCCATCACTCCTCAAAGTTATCCGCCACTGGCTGTGTTGTTCCTGTTGATTATCACGACCAGGTTAATAAGCACTTTCCACTAGCCTCTACTGCACATCCATAGTTTATTTTATTCATAATTTCCCCACGCTTTTTATCTTGACTTTTGCATCCCCCTCAGTCACACACGACCGATAACCAACATGGAGCAACCCAGTGAACCAAATAATGCCGCTATGTATGATGCACGCAGGCGTAGAGCATCTGTTGGGACATCGCAGCTATTAGACAACATTGTCTCGGCTTCAAACTGTCAGTCTTGACCAGCGGTCTTTTTTCTTTACATTCGAGATCGCGATCTAATCATCACCGACAGTCGACAGAGATGAGGTGGACAGGCTCCGCAAGCGATTCATGAAACTTGACAAGGTCCGATCAATACGTGAAGAATTACGGGAATAATATGGCTTACTCTGTCGCAGGATAGCTCCGGCACCATCGATCGTGACGAGTTCCTTTCCCTCCCACAAGTGTCTTCCAACCCGCTCGCAACGAGGTACGTGAGACGCGCGATAGATGATGGCACCGCGGAGGAACACCAGGACGTGGGCGATATGCTTACCGATACACAGAATGATAGCGATCTTCGACGAAGACGGTGGCGGCGATGTCGACTTCCAAGAGTTCGTGTCGGGGCTGTCGGCTTTCAGCTCCAAGGGCAACAAAGAGGAGAAGCTTCGGTTCGCCTTCAAGGTCTACGACATTGACCGGGACGGCTACATCTCCAACGGCGAGCTGTTCATCGTGCTGAAGATGATGGTGGGCAATAACCTGAAGGACGTGCAGCTGCAGCAGATCGTGGATAAGACGATCATGGAGGCGGATAAGGACCGCGACGGCAAGATCAGCTTCGAGGAGTTTACGGAGATGGTGGAGAATACCGATGTCAGCTTGAGCATGACACTGAGTATGTTCTAGCGGGTTGTTCCGAAGAAAGGACAGGACAGGACTGACCGACTGTGTTTGAGCAGGCCAAATATAAGCGTTGCACATGAGTATGTTCGAGTCTTGCTATCTGGCGTTGTTGTTTTTGTCTATTGCTTGCCGCGCCGAACGCTTGCCGGTCCTTTCTGCCCCTTTGGCTCTGACATGAATTTCACGATCATTGATGATCAATGACCTCTGTAGTTTACATCCTGGCATCCTTGAAGGAACCACAGACACGACGACATGCACATATACAGTCCATGACCATCCAATATACATATATTCATCACGCGTGTGGCTTTACAGATCGCGAGTACATATAGGCGGTGCATACCATCAAACCACGAATACCTCCGTTACAGAGAAAATAAACAACAAGGAACTAAGACCTTTTTTGATATCAAATTTATCCTTCGTCAACGGATCTTATTTTGCTCCGGAGGTCTCTTCTATCCAGACAAATTACATAGCAAGGGACCCAAGAATGTCAACACATTCAGGACATATATAAAACCTACGACTACGCGTTATGTAGAATGTGACGCCACCACATAAGCGGAATTTTGGGCCATATACGTATATACGAGGTTATCTACACATATCAGCTAGGGATATATATACGTGCAAGTTTATATCTGCCAAGTGATTTGACGATATTCCTGTTCAAGAAGGTCGGAAAAAATAAAATAAAATAAAATAAAAATAAGAATAAAAAAATAAAATTGCTGCGTGCACCTAGCTATGGAATTTGCAGCCCATCCGTCCATCCACCCATCCATGGGATTATCATGTCCCGATCTAGTCTACAGAGTATCCATCGGGCATCGAGTTTCTATATATCCAGATCAGGTAGCCCCTTGGTAACGTGGATACGGTTAGTGTTATGAGCCTAGCCTAGCGTCCCGCGGAACCGGGAGCAACTCCCGACCCTTGGTGATGGGACGCGATCTATAGAATACCCCAAAGTCGGAATGTGATGAATCGAGCGGAGTGATATCACCATGTCGTGTTTTCATTTAGAGAAACGGGAGCCCCTTCGAACCTTTCCTTCCCTCCGAGTGTATTTCTAGGATTCAAAAAAGGCTTGAGTTTGAGTTTGATAGATTTTCCAGAAATTGGGTTAGAGGTAGACTCTTGGTATTATGATCGGAGTTATGGATTGTGAGAGTAACTGCACGTCTCCTAAAGTTTAAGAGGTTGTATTGCTTCAATGCAATGCTTGCATTGTGCGGAGTCCTGTAGATAGTAGCCGAGACGACGTCTTCATGGCCATGTCTTGGTTACGTCTTGGTCATGGTCATACCCCCCCCCCACATCTTTCCTCCGGCGGAGCTGGGCCAGGCCAGTGGTCACTCTGACATTATTAGACAAAGTGAGGCCACTTGCCAATCCTGAAAGAGAAAGAAGAAGCGCCACGATTGGTCTATCAGGTGCAGGTCGGGGATCGTGGACGATCGGAGTCCGGTGATGACCGCGACCAAGGAGTCGGATCCCTCTCATTGTGCTCTCTCACAAATCACAATGGTGGTGATAGCCTTGCGGGTTCCGAACCTGGAAACCGGGACGTGCTAGTCTTGCACCGGCGTCACACAGCGCTACAGGCGGCTGTATTGGATTTGGACGTGTGGCCCAGCGTTACCCGGTCACGCCCCTAGTGCTTTGTTCTGTTGAAGTGGTCAGAGTAGGCCGCACAGAAAAAAAAGTTCCAAGAATTTCTATCGCTAGAAAGCAGTGGTATATCCTTTATACGCTCAAAAGACCCGCCCACTGGTTGCACCGGAAATGGGAAGAAAAGAGTCACGCGTGAGGGTATATATATACAAAATCGGATGTTGCCTGAGAAGGCACCAATGATACATGAGATGATAGTGTGTAATATGCGGTTTCACTCTCATGTCTCAGGAACAAGAGCGCCAGAGCTGAGAACGGTGATGGAAGACCTCTCATGGCAGATGTCTACCCAGGAGAGCTTATGGTAGCCCTGGGCGGGAAGCCCTTCAGGTCTTCATGCCCCGCGGACAATGAAGCCAGGGAATGTAATGGCCTAACTCTCCGCCCTACTCGTAAAGAAAGAGAGACATGCAGTCATGGACACATGATTCAAGGAAAGTGCTCCGTAGTGCGGGCTGTGAAGTGAGGACTGGACCATACGGTGGTACTCCATAGTCCGTCACGGTGGTATGAACCGTAGACAGTGGGCGCTTGGGCTCGTGGGTTTCGTCCTCGAGAACTAAACTAGTTCCTGCGTTAGGCCGGACGCGAGCACAATCACGGAAGTACGGAATATGACTGCGCCATTTGGGAAAGTGAGCTCGAACTCGACGGAGACCATCACTCAGGACCGCGAAGTAGTGGCTGCGGCGGCGTTCACTCCATGTGCCCGCATATTATCTGGTCGGCTTTCTATCAGATCGATACATTCCCCGAGGACTATGCGATGAGTCGCCGAATCAGACAGCTGTGCCAAATTTCTTGACAGGATTTCTCGACTAATGTAGGGTTCTTACCACAGAGTATCTCCTCCTCCCAAATGCCCATCTGATAGTCCACCAGTCCGTGCTGTTCCATCTGATCGCATAGCTGAATCAGTTCTCTGCCCATATCGTCCAAACGATCGCTACTGAGCATTGAGGTGTTCGACGGTTGATGGCCAGTACGCAACGCCTCCTGTGTCATATCTTTCTGTCTTTGGCAGACACCCAACCAGCAGATGTTGAAGTCATTCCATAATTGCAATCGATCAGAATAGAACATCGGATCGTCGCTCAAAATGCCTAGGATTGGTTAAAGGTCAGCAACTAAAATGCCTCATCATGAAATTGATCTTCATATGCCCGCTACGCAGGCTCGCAGGTATCATCGACGTGTGCCAAGGGTGCGATCAACAAAAACAAATGATGTATTCGTTGTGCACGTATTATTGTATTCAATGTAACGATGCAAAGGTACGATTCTTGAAGGATGGTGGATAAGGCAATGAGTGGAATCCAAACAAACGCTAGGGAAGAAACATACCGAGTTCCCGCGCATTAGTGACAAGCCACTCGGAAATTTCCAAGAGTGATCGCCCAGCCTCTACCAATTGGCCGGCGCGAATGTGATCGAACGTCGACCGCAAGACTCGTTGAAACCGACCATATTCTTCATTCAAATTTGTCGAATCCGGAATTACATGCTGGTGCTGGTGCTGCTGCTGCTGTTGTTGTTGCTGCTGAGACGTTTCTTGTTGCTCCAAACGTCTCGCCGTTGTCCCCACAGGGGTAAACTCGGCCATGGTTGCGGGAAAGGGCTGCATTGCGCTCGAGCGCCCAATGGGGCCGGGCTGGTTATAAGCAGGTGAAGAGAGGTGCGGGTTCATGTAGGGCGAACCCTCTGCAGGGACCCCTGTTGCCATCGGCTCATTAGTTGGAAAGTACTGTGGAACGGCAAATTGGCTGGACAGGGCGTCAATCGCTGCAGACTGCCGTGCTGGGTACTGTGGCACGACCTCGTACGGATTTTGTGTCGGACCTTGCTGACCGAGATTATATACCATCTCCGATTCATACGCGGCGAAGGGTTGCTGTATCGACTGCTGGCGCTGTTGTTCGCGCAACGTTGTAGGATACGGTTGTAATTCGTCCCCGTGCAAGGAATCACCCTGAAACGCAGTGTCTGTGTATCCATAGTCCATGTAGGCTGACAGTCGAGATCTTGTCGCTGCTTGCGACAATCCTGGATGGTTTCCACGTGCTGAAGGTTGGCCATGCTGTCGAAAACGATCCGCAGCACCGCGGGATGAACTGGGGACCCCTCGACGTGTCTGCCCCGAGGCGGTTGTGAAACTGGAGGGATCATGCTGCTTCATGCGTCGGCTATCGCCATCCATACCACGCAGTCGGTCCCACGAGACCCTGCGCGCTGGATGGAGGTCAAGAGACCAATGCGCTTCGGGGGAGAGCGGAGGACTCGCGTATGGTTCCAGTTTGCCGGGATTGTGGTGTTTGGTCGTCAACGACGTCGTCTGTGTGAAAGCCTTTACAACGTGAGTTCCTACTCCTCCTTTCCACTCATTCATAGACTGGTGCAAGCAGTTCGGAACGATACTCTTGCTATCGGATGTGCCGAGTCTCGTGGCGAGTCTCTGTGCGGTTCAAATATACCGTGTTGCGCAAGCATGCGCAGTCTGGTATCTATCAGCATTATGAATGAAGATGTTTTGACATAACCAGATTGAAATGCAAAATATGTACGCATCATTAGCAACGACATACCTCTCTGATACACTGAACCCCTCTCAAGTCGTAGTTCTTTGAGAACGGTAACCTCCTCTGGTAGAGAACGAAACGCACAACAGTGCGGGCAGAATGACAAAGAGCGGAAGAGAATCAGGGCTAATAATAAAATTTTCTATGATTCAGAAAAAGGTAAGTCCCAATGACTGGACTCCTATAATTGCAGCCCAAGCAACCTGCTCTGACAGATGAGGGACACCAGAGACTGTGTGGAGAGTGGGGGAACAAGAGCGCAAGGATGGGTTGCAAGATATACTTCAACTGACAGTGACTAGAATAGATCAAGAAATAAGCGGTCTCTAGGGTATATATTTAAACTCTCAGGAGAAGACAGGATCAGCATCTAGGGGCCGTATTATTTAGAAGCAGTGCAATAGAAGGGAAAGGCTGAAGTATTGGTGATCTCTTGGTGGTCTCTATTGATGCGCTTACATCCAGGCAAGCAGGCAAGCAAGCAACAAAAAAACGAGTAAAATTAAATTAAAAAAAATAAAGAAAGAAAAATAAAGGAAAAAGGAAAAAAAAAATATACATACACATATGACGAGAACGAGGGGAAAATGTAAAAAAAAAAAAACAAAATAAAGGAATGGGGGTTAAAGAGACAAACAAAAAAAAAAAAAGAAAAAACAAAGCAAGTGATCTACTTCCAAGTTAGAAGACAGCAGCAATATCTTCAGCTTGGAATAATCATCATTATTATTACTATTGTTCTATCAACCGTACACGGAGTGGTCCATACACGTCTTCTGTCCATTTGCTTTTTGTGTCCACTTGACTCGGTCAACCCGAACGTGATGGCGGACGCTACTTGTTTCTTTTTTCGTTTGTTCCGAGCCATTGGGGGCAGAAATTCTCTTCTCGCGCTGTTTCTATCAATACTACCTATATCATACTGTACTAATTGCTGCCCTTTCCCCTATGATTCGTGGTGTAGTCCTGTTGTTGGGATTCTTATGGGTCATCATTGGGCAGCATAGACCCGAGAGCGTTTCCTGAGGATGCTCTAACTGATCTGATCTAGCGAGTATATACAGGAGAATATTGATATTTCTGCTTACGTAGTTGGATCACCAGGATGGAAAGCATACTAAAAGAGTTAATGAAGAAAGATGAAATTAGTCATTTCGAGCTGCTTTTATTAACCCTATGCGAAGACGCGGAGCTAATCGGGTCCTTCCATAGTGCTGGGGCGCACGATCATGCAGAGAGACGAAAGAAACAGGCTAGAAAATCGACAGATCCAAGTCGACAAAGGGGAATGACCGATAAGGTTAGAGAACAGGGCCACTAGGTAAGTAGGTAGTTTCCTAAAGTAAGGTACCACTAGCTTTGTCTTAGATTCAAATTCAAGTCACCCGAGTACTCGACATATTATTGTTGCATCCTGCCTTGTATTCCTTTGGCCTAGTCTAGTCTACTATGGAGTACAGTATTTGAGTATTGAGACTCGACTATGAGTAAGTCAGGGCTACTAACTATATGACGCTGGCCATGCTTAGTGCTTGGCTGATCTTCCATCGAATCCACTTCGGGGATCTTCGTCATCTGTTGATCATATTTATTGATGGCTGGATTTTGACAAATCCCACACGGCCCCAGGAGCCCGAGACACTGGTTCCCCCCTTGTGGCTGCTCAGAGGTTAAACTTTCTCGATGATTAGCTTCATCTGGCGGAATCCCGAAAAACAAAACACGGAACAAGGCGAGAAGAGAAAGACAAAACTCGGTGAAGAACAGACCGAAGAAGAATATCCTCTCCAGACTTGGCATGAGTTATGTATGCTTGCCACCGTACTCCGATCCTCAGGGCAAGAGAAAGCCCCCAGACGAGAAAAAGCACAAAGTACGCTGTCCCTTAAGTGATCACCAAGTCATAGTCTAGATAGTCACCGCCAAACTGACGAACAGACTCTGTTAGCCTGTTCTAGAACAGAAATTATGCTGTGTTTTCATACACACAAGTGCAGAGCGCACTGAGTTGTATCAGCATTATTAACATGCCCCTTGTCTTCCAGAGAATCAGCGCCGAGTTGTACTTGTCGTTGAACACGAGCCAACTCGTGCAAAAGTAGCGGAAAGTCAACAAGGATACTGTGGCCGACGAGTACTGAGTAGCTGGCTAAGACAATCGACAGTACTGACCTGCTGGCGACCGGAATCCTGGGAAAGGCCATGCATGCGGACGGACCGACCAATTGGTCGCTTGTCGAGTTTAGAAACCAGAAAGGAGCTCAATAGAGCTTGGAGATCTGCAAGAGATGTCACTTGGATCTTGATAGATTGTGCTATATTCCCAGAGGGGAAATGGTATGGATGATTTAAGTCACAGTTCAAGCCATAGAAGCTAGTGCGCGGGGACCGGGCCCTGGCGTCAGATTGGGGACTGACGGCTGCGGCGTGATCCAATAGAACCCATGATCAGTATTTTTTTGATTTGAAATACTTCGCCGGGGACGCAATAATTGATAGTATTGATAGTAGACTGAGTGGTTTCCTTATGTTTTCATCCTGTTGTTGTTGTTCTTGTCATAGTCTTCCAGCTTTGCAGCTTTGCCAATGATACTACGGATATCCCAAGTGAGGCGTCCCAGCCTGCCAGCTGCACGTTGGTCAACCATCAATGTGAACGCTTGGGATATGTGAGGGGCTGTCACTAGTGCAGGATCACGCTACTCAATCTCTATTCATGGAATATCATGATGCAATGCGAAACGAGTGTTGAGTGTCAAGTTCAACCTTCAAAATATCAAGGTAGAGCATATAATTGGTGAAGATCATACACATGGCATACTGAGGTAACAACATACCAAGCATACTGAGCATCATCGAAGGGCATCGTAAAAATCGCTTCTGCCTGCCACCATAATTACTACATCCATAAATAAAGTCATGGGCAGGCAGGAACATTGCAAACCGACCCAGGAGATGACAACAATGAACAAACTCAGACTCAGCAATGTGCAACCCTCCTCCAGCGAACTGTCACTCAGCCCTTCCAGTATCCAGGCTCCCTCTTTTCTCCTCAGTTCGCAGATCGATGATCTCAGCGCCACGTTGCCAATAGCAATAGATAGCTGCGATAGTCTGAGTTTGAGTCCGCGACCCATGATCCCTTCATCGACCTGAAACTCGAGACTCGGGACTCGGACTCGAGGAGAGCTCAACGGCAGTGTGTGGATTGTGTAACGTTGGTCCTCATTTCCGTCAGCACTGGGCTGGATCCATCATCGTGCGAGGTCTGCGCAATCTCCCCCTCTCGTACGGAAAACCCTGCGCCTCTTTCTGTTCGTTTTTACATGATTGGGTCTTTCGACTGGGTTGCTTGGTTCTTCTGCATTCGGGCCACAGCTTGGAATTAGACCGAGACTCGGGAAGTTAGAATCGTCTTGATGTTCTGCACTGATTTGACAGTGGTCAAGAGTCGTAGTTCCTGCTGCCGGCCTTCTCAGTGCTCGTCCAGTGTTTATCCACAACTCTAATCAATCGATTTCATTGTCATCTGAGGGTAACGCCCGATAAGAGTCAAACTAAGGTACATTGCTTGTCGCCGAGACCACCCATGCAAGTGTCTTGTCTTGAAACAAACCGCCATGGCACTCGCGGTGATGCGGAGGACTCGAAAGTATATTCAGTCAAAGATCAAGGTGGCAAGTGAGATAATGATACAGGTCGGGGAAATAAGAACAGTAAATGGAGTAAAGAACAAACAGCGCTCCAGGACCAAGAGAGAATAAACATGCTTTCATCTCTTGACCCAGGTTGGCATCTTGCGAGCCTTGACGTGACCAGGTTTCTTTCTCTCGACGCGACGAGCATCGACGGTAATGACACCAGCTAGAAAAATTGTCAGCAACATTCTTTAATACCCACCGAGGCGGCCTCAACTGTAACGTACCTTTTCGCAAAATTGGCTTCAGCGCCGGCTCATGGACGAGCAGTGCCCGTGCAAGCGCTAATGTGATGGCCTCTGCCTGGCCAGTGACTCCACCTCCCCGAACTGTAGCCCACACATTATACTTGTCTAGTCTCGACGTGCATCTCAGCGGCCAAGTTGCGCTCTCACGGTCGTGCAGACGGGGAAAAGCTTCCGTCAGCGTCTTGCCGTTTACCATGACCTCACCCTCTCCTTCGACAAGGTGGACCACCGCCGAAGAGGTCTTGCGCTTTCCCTTGCCGCGAGCTCGCCCCATCTCGTCCACCGTCGCCGGCGCCGGCTTATTTCCGTACGGGTTACCAGGCCGAAGAAAGGTCTTCAAGGTGTCGCGGACTTCCCCCGGGAGAAGAGCAGGCTCAATGCGATTGAGTCGCTGCAGAATCTTGACCAAGCTCTTGTATTTCTTCGTCGGTACGGGCTCGCCGACAAAGTCGCGGAACTGTGCAAGTTTGAACCATGCCATTCGAGGCGCTTCGCTCGGGGACACCGTAGGTAGTGATGCGTACTTTGCGCAGATACGTTCCAAATTCAATAAATGATCGATGAACTTGGGACTGCCGGAGAAGTAGGCCGGTGATGCGGGAATGACCCGAGCAGGACGGGTAGCGAGTTGGGAGAAATCGATCTCGGGAGCTGCTCGTACCTGGAGAGCATTTCCACCAGTGATTTGGGCCTCAGTTGCATAACTTCGCGCACCCTTTCGCTGTTGTAATAAGCTCCCCGAAGTGACTGTGGAGGTTCGCAGTATGGACTGCAACTGAGTTCTTCGGACCGACTGCACCGCCTGAACAATGCAATTAGGCCTCTGCCACGCCATAATTGAGGAAACCGGCAGGCAGGAGCCTTGCTTGAGCCGTAGGCCAATTGTCAATGTATGTAGGGAGAGGGAGAAATTGTAGCAGTGTGGTCACCCGTCGAAACCCTAGCCTATCCTTGTTCAGCCGTTGTTGGACAAGCCTGAGGTTTTTCGATGACATATCACGTGAGCGACCAAACGTTCCTCCGGTCGCCGACGCCGAGTCTTGATTCGCACAAAATTTCGTCGTTCTTTTCCGCCAGAGCCCCTCAGGTGTCGGTTTTTTTTTATTTGAGCAGTTTCTCCTTTCCCACCCCTCCCCTTCTTCCTCTCCTTTCTCTCCCACATCTCCCCATCCACACCTCACATTCACAATGGCTTTCGGAAAGCTTTACGGTCTTCCTGTACGTGTTATTCTTGATAATCAGCCCGATTGATTTGATGGATTACATCCATTCAGCTGCCTTGCTTCCGTTGCTTTGGACAGCTGGCTAATCGGAGTGACTCAAACAGGAGAACGGTCGTACCATCGCCGCCCTCGTCGCTGCCAAGTGCAATGACTTGGAGCTCGAGCTGGTTAACACTGAGGCCAACTCTGCCGCTGCCTTCAACCAGTCTGCTGAGTACCTCAAGCTCAGCCCCCTCGGCAAGATCCCTGCTTTCGAGGGTGCCAATGGCTTCACTCTCTCCGAGTCCATCGCTATCGCTGTCTACGGTATGTTTCAATTTTGCTTAAACGTCTCTTTTCCACTACCAGCTATGTCGAATTCCTTTACATGATGAGCAATTTTTATTACTAGTTATCCCTGGCAGAACTACTGTGTTGATAACATTACAACTCTGAATCTCTTTTTGTTACCCCGCCTTGTGGCAGAAAATTTCCCAAAATGGAATTGACCTTGTTTCATCGTTGCAAACCACCGCAGGTCCTGAACATTTTGAGGCTGACTGGATTTAAAGTGACCTCCCAGAACGAGAAGACCACTCTCCTGGGCAAGACCAAGCAGGACTACGCTGTCATCCTCCGCTGGCTCTCATTTGTCAACGCTGAGGTCCTCCCCAAGCTCGGTGGCTGGTACCGCCCTCTTATGGGCCTTGACCCCTACAACAAGAAGAACGTTGAAGATGCCGCCAAGGCTGCCAACAAGGCCCTCGCGGTCCTTGAGAAGCACCTCACCGCCAACACCTACCTGGTTGGTGAGCGCATCACCCTCGCCGATTACTTCGGTGCCTCTCTCCTCACCCGCGCTTTCGCTACCGTTCTGGACAAGGCTTGGCGCTCTGAGAACGTTGCCGTCACCAGATGGTACAACACTATCATCAACCAGGCTCCTTTCAAGGCCGTCGTCCCCAGCCCTGTCTTCGCTGAGGAGGCTATCAAGTACACTCCTCCCAAGAAGGAGGAGAAGCCCAAGGCTGCGCCTGCTCCTGCCAAGCCTGCTGCTCCTGCTGCTGAGCCCGAGGCCCAGCCTGAGAAGAAGCCCAAGCACCCTCTTGAGGCTCTTGGCAAGCCCGAGTTTGTCCTCGATGAGTGGAAGCGTCAGTACTCTAACGAGGACACCCGCCCCGTTGCTCTGCCCTGGTTCTGGCAGAACTACAAGCCCGAGGAGTACTCTCTCTATGCTGTTGACTACAAGTACAACAACGAGCTCAAGCTCACCTTCATGGCTAACAACCTGATCGGTAAGAATTTCACTTCTTTGGATTCATCTTGCTCCCACATTCTGACTTCCCATCGTAGGTGGTTTCCACGCCCGTCTTGAGGCTTCCCGCAAGTACCTCTTCGGTGCTCAGTCCGTCTACGGCGAGAACTACAACTGCGTCATCCGCGGTGTCTTCCTCGTCCGTGGCCAGGACTGGAAGCCCGCCTTCGAGGTCGCCCCTGACTGGGAGAGCTACGACTTCCGCAAGCTCGATCCCTCCAACCCCGAGGACAAGAAGCTCGTCGAGGACGAGTGGGCCTGGGACACCTCCGTCACTATCGACGGCAAGGAGTACCCCCACGTTGATGGTCACGTCTTCAAATAGACGCTGTTCTGGGAATGCTATCAGCAACCTCATGAAGTCCTCTCTTCCCCTCATACATTGGGTTAGCTTCTATATGAACTCAAGCCTTGGCCATAAGCACTTTCGTTTCAGGATACACCGCATATGTACCTGTTACCGGGAAGGGTTATGGGCCTGGCTTTCCATTTGATATCCCTCTCACCCCCTCCACGCGCCCAACTGACCCTCCTAATGTCTACGTTGCCCACGACTGAATGGTTTACGTATTTTCATTCGTCGACTTGACTTTCAAAAAAGATTCTCTTCCTAAAATGCATGGATATTGTATATCCGCGCTAATGATATCTTGAGATGTGGAATGATAGTAGCTAGTCTAGCCATGAAGAAGCCAAAAAGCACTTCTTGATCCTAGCATCTTTCTGTTCCGATTATGTATCCAGTAATATGTTAGATGCACGCCGTCCACGTAAACGGTGCATTTGAAAGTCGCCATGTATGTCCTTGACAAGCCTCACGAGGCTCATATTGCGAGGTATTTATTCAAAACAACCGATAATTTCAAACTTAAATTTACGGCAACGCATAGCAAGGGTATCCTCTTCGTGAATCAATAAAGACAAAGACAGAACAAAAAGTCGAATCAGTCGCGGCGATCATTCAACGACTCCTCTAGGCGATCGAGAAGGTAGTTTTCCGACTGCACTGAGGAAGCGGGAGACGGAGAACGTCTGGGATGCGATTGCGGCACAGCTGTAGCTGTCAGGATAGCAATGTCGTCACCTGGTGAAGCTGGGCTGCTGTCAATCGGAGTAACCCTTTCGTTGACCCCCTCAGCTGTCATGGCAGAAACAGCAGCTGCAGCGGGTAAATTCGCAGGTGCAGCGCCGATAGCGGCGGCAGCCCGTCGCGCCGCTTTCTTCTCCTGTTTGCGAGCTCTCCGTCGTTCCTTGCGTGCCTGGGCTACTTCCTGGGGTGTTGACGGTGTGGTCGAAGAACTTCCGGTTTGTTGTGGTGGAGACTGATTCACTCCGATGTCGAGGCCAAGGATTGTGCTGTTTGTCGCGATGTTTGACGCGAGCTTTGAGTTCCAGAGCTGGAGCAACTTGCTGACGTCGTCGTGCTGGGCTAGGGCGTCAAGACATTCCAGGACTTTGGGAAATATGTGAGACTCGTTGATACCCGGTGCGTTCGTGAACTCCGGGATCTCGAGGATGTTGTAGGGCTCGCTGAGTGCTTTGAGTTTGCTATCATCGATGAGAACGGTGTTCGTCTGGTCCCACCGCCAGCTCCCCCGCGCCGCCTTTTTCTTCGTTTTAGACCGACCGTTCTGCTGGGAGCTGGGATACGAGGCTTGAATCTCTTGATTGCTCCACACTGTCTCTAGGGTCTTATAGACCTGCACCTTTGACCAGTACTGAGATTTCGAGAGATTCAACTTATCGCGGCCCCATTCAGCTACCAGTGACTTTCTTTTCTCGCCAGGAAACAGTTTCTCGCAAACTGCGTTTACCGTCTCTGGTTGCGAACTGGACCAGATCATGACCTTGTAGTTTTTCAACAAAGCGTCCAAGAAGTGGTCCAGGCCTGTCCTTTTGGCGAAAGAAGGGGGCAGACGTCGATGCTTTCGAAAGATCAGAGTGCCGTTCAGGTCAAGAATGACCAGTAGAGGTTGACGGTTGGGATGTAGTTTCGGGGCCAAGGACGATTGCGTCAGATACTCCTTAGTCGGCGCAGGAGGCTCCGGGGTTTTAGATCGCCGATCACGCGGTGGGATTAGGAGCAATGGTTGCGGTGTTGGTCCTTGAGAATTGCCTCCAGTAGGGCTAGCTGTTGTAGGATACATTGGGTCGACGGGACAGAACGGAAATCCGCCGAAAACTGGGGGTGCCAATGCTGGACTGGAAACACTCAAATTCATGGGAGGGAATGGGACCATTGGAGGCATGAAAGGTAGTATCTTTCCAGGGTTATTAAAGTCTGGCATTGGCGGGAAACCGTAAGGGGTGAATGGGAGGTTATCGGGCAAAGTCTGAGATTGTGGTGATTGCGAGTGGGATAGGTGTAACGGGACAAACGGCAGCTGCACAGCGGTGTTGTTAATAGTGCCTGATGTACTGGATGGTATGGGCAAAACGGGAAACGAGTTGATATTAGGGTCGAATTGCAGACTAGTAGAAGGCGCATTGAACGGCTCCTGTAGTTGCATGTGCGGAACTTGAGCTGGTTGAGAGCCTGACAGATGCGGACTATACGGTGACGGTTCTTCTTTTGACATTCTGTCAAAAGATCTGGCATTGCGCCGTGTACCATTCTTCCGCGAACCGCTCGACATAGCATTGTCAGATCCGGGGGAAATCACTCTGTCGGAGCGCCAACCGGCGTTGTTCGAATCCCAACGACCTTGATATGGCCTCCATGATTTCCTCGAATTCTGGCTTGTATCGCGTAGACCATCATTGTTCTGTGGATGATATCCTGCTTGAGGTGTACCATCTCTCGCAACTTTTGATCGTGTCATGCCTAGAGCTTCGAGAGCACTGCCGACGGTAGCTTGTAATTGGGGTTTCTTTGACGGGTTGATATGAGGTGGCGACCTCAAAACAGAGTTGGCTGGCACCTTGAGATGGGGCAGGACCTATACAGGAGAACCCAGTGTTCAGTCGCCGACCATGGTGATCACCTGTACTTGGATTCGTAACACACCTTCTCGGACGCCCCGCCTTGGAGCATGCGGCGGTACGCAGCAGTCACTGACAGCGGCAGAGATGAGATAAACGAAGCAAGCCTAACGAATGGATGGCCCCAGCGCCTAAAAACCATGAAGTAGACGAAGAATTGACGCCAGCACGTAAGGAGAGAAAGAATGATCAAGATTGACTGCGCTTGGATGGATGGAAGAACGGCAAAATAAAAAGGCGACAACAGACAATCGCCGCGCGGAAAGAAAAGCGGCCAACGAGAGTCTCGCCGCCCAACTCACCGCCTTATTTGGTGGCAGTATAATCGACTTTTTCTGCGCTGATCTTCACCGCCGCAGAGTATTAGAGGCACAGCTGGTTACGGCGGTCTTATACTTTTGCTCCGGTCCATTCTCTGATATACGCATCGAACTGAAGCCGCTGAAGAGGAT